GAGAGAGAGAGGGAGAGCACGGACTTCCCAAAAATGGTGAGGTTTTCAGTAGAGCTAGACCCCTGAGAGTTTGAGGTCCTGTACAAGTAGACACATGCCCATCATGAAAGGTCTTGTAGGCCATGGTAAGGAAATTTGGATTTTTTCTTGAGAAAAATGCAAAGCCATCGAAAAGTTTTCAAAATGGGTAATAATATAAGCACATGTTTAGAAAGATCATTCCGGCAGCAGTGTGGACAATGGCTTCATGAAAGATACAGACCAGGGGCGCCTGGGTGGCTCAGATGGTTAGGCGTCTGCCGTCGGCTCAGGGTCCTGGGATAGAGTCCCGCATCGGGCTCCCTGCTCCTTGGGAGCCTGCTTCTCCCTCTGCCTCTCTCTCTCTCTCTCTCTGTCTCTCATGAATAAATAAAAAAAAAAAAAAAAAAAAAAAAAGAAAGATACAGACCAGTTGAAAGACTGTTGCAGTCTCTAAGTGAGAGTTGAGATCATGGCAGAAAGGATAGAGAGGAATGGGTGGATCACAGAGAAAGTTAGAGGTAGAACCTATGAGACTTGGTGATTTAATAGATGTGTGTGCATGAAGGAGGTTTTAATCAGGGAAGAGAGAGGGAGAATGAGGAGTTATGAATGACTGCCAGGAATAGCTGGATGAATAGTGGTGTCCTATGATGAAAACACCCTCGAGAAGTATGAATAAAAATAAATTAATGTTTGATAACAAATTTATAGAGTGATCTTATCATCATCATCATAAAATAACTATATGTGGTATACTTTATAATTTATCTGTGCTATAATTAACATTGCTTCATTTGTCCTGTGACATTTTTCCATGTTGCAAATTAGAAAATCAGATTACAGTTTAAACTACTTTATCAAGCTCTCTTAGCTGGAAACTGCAGGACCAGTATTAAAACTCTAGCATTCTAACACCAAGGCCACTCTGACACAGTGTAATATTTGGTAGGATTATAATTCTCTCTCTTTTTTTTTTTAAGATTTTATTTATTTGAGAGAGAGAATGAGAGAGAGAGAGAGAGAGCACATGAGAGGGGGGAGGGTCAGAGGGAGAAGCAGACTCCCCGCTGAGCAGGGATCCTGATGCGGGACTCGATCCTGGGACTCCAGGATAATGACCTGAGCTGAAGGCAGTCGCTTAACCAACTGAGCCACCCAGACGCCCTATAATTCTCTTTATTACCATGAATGAACACTCTGTTGAAAGCTCCCTTTGTGCTAGAGACTCTGACAGTACTCTGCATAATTTAATCCTGACAACCACTCTAATGAAGTTAGTATTATTATCTCCATTTTTACAAATGAAGAAACTGAGATTCAGAGACATTAAGTATTTCCTAAGGACACCTAGATATTAAATGGCAGAATGGAGATCTGATTTCCCAAATCTGAGTGCCACAGGAAGTACTTATAATTCATGCCAACCTGCTCTAACCAGTGTATTAGGTGTTTTTGTGGCCATAGTTCCTTCATAAGCAATTTATAGATGAAATACATGTTTACTCAATCCATTGTTTGGTTGTTAATTTGGAATTTTGGTTTCTGTTAATTGTGGATCTTCATATTATCAATCATACTGAGCCCATGGCAATTAATTCCAGTTAAGACCAAATAACTGATCTTACTTTGCTTTGATTTAAAAACTTGAATCATATAGGCATACGCTACATCTATAAGATGTAAATAACTTTAATTATACTAGTCAGGATTCAGAAATCAGATTATGTTGTCATAACCAATAATCACCAAATCTCAGTGGTTTTATTTTTAAAAATTTATTTATTTATTTGACACAGAGAGAGGGAGAGAACAAGCACAAGCAGAAGGAGCAGCAGAGGGAGAGGGAGAAGGCTACTTGCTCAGCCCAGGACCCTGGGATCATGACCCAAGTAGAAGGTAGACTCATAACCAACTGAGCCATCCAGGCGTCCCAAATCTCAGTGGTTTTAAATGATGAGAATTTATTTCTCATTTACATTATATGTTCATTACAGGTGAGCAGGTGGCCCTGCTTTATATTGTCCTGACTCAGAGACCAGAATCTATCAAGAATGCTTTTGGTCATCAAGGTGGGAGAGAGGGAGAACTGGGGAATCATGAACCAATCCTTAAATGCCAGGTACAAGTGACATATGTTACTTCCACTCACCTTTTATGTGGCAAAATATGTCACGTGGCCACATCCAACTTTAAAGAACAGGAAAATAGAAAAAATGTGTGCCTGAAAAGAAGAGAACTAGAAATATATCCCTTTAGAAATTCATGACTAACTCAGATGTTAGTCAATTTCATGGTGAAAGATTTTCTAGGGTCAAATAAATTTGGGAAACTTTGAATTAAACATATTAAAGAAGTTTCTTAACTATGTCTTCTCTGAACCCTTATATATAATATGCTTTATTAATCTCCAAAAAAGGGACCATTACCATAGGATATTTTTTCCCAAAGACTTTTTTCAAAGACTCATGTCCTAAAGAAAACACTTTCAGAAATAGTACTCTAAGGTTCTGCCTTTTAGAACTTATTTGTGGAAAGAGGAAAGGAACAAAGAAGGAAAGGAAAGAATAAAGAAAGGAAGGAAAAAGACCAGGGCAGTGCAAATTTATGGATAGTTTTGAGATCAACAGCCTTCCATAGTAGCTAGTTTTAACCAAAAACTGCATTTCTAATCTCTTGTGTATCACATAGTTAATTTATTGAGTTGTTTATTCAACACCTAATAAGATGCTATGTACTTTACTCATGTTACCTCATTCCATCTTCACAACAACATAAAAGGCAGATTATTATCTCCTCACAGATGAAGAAACTAAACTCAGAGAAGACAATTACATGTTCAAAGCCACACAGATAGTAAACTGAGTTGCAGACGAGATGAGAAGGAAAAGTCATGTCAACCTCCAATAAAAAGGATTAAGTGCTCTAGTTAGAGATTGGTCAAAAGATGGAAAGATTCATCTTCATTTTGATTATCTTCTCTGTTTGGACCTTGAGTTATGTGGAAGCAGTGATATTTGGGGGCCTGAGTGAAGAGCCTTGAATGCCAGGCTGTTTGGATTTTATTCTCCAGGTAATGTTGAGCCATGGAAAGGTTTTGAGGCAGGAGGGATCAGACAATTATAACAAGACTTAGCATTTCAAGTCCCAAGGAGTCCTTGGAAAGGACTAATCCTTCACAGCTGGCAGAAGAGGAGTCTATTTTGAGCCCCGGGGGATCAAGTCGGAGCCGTAGCAGCGTTCAGAGGTATCAGAGTGTATCTGACATCCAGGGCAGGGATCATCCCTTGGCTGAATACTTCTCTCCTGGCTTGTGCAAAAGCCCAGCCCATAGCCACTGATCACAGCTTTATTGGAGTGCTATGTTAAACCTAGCATTATCAAGATGGGCAGTATGAGTCTCCAAAGAAAGGAAGAAAGAAGTTGGTAATCAATGGGTAAATAATTGCTTATGTTGTGGGTGTGCAGGACTTGGTCATGCAGATGCCCCTCTGGAGTTGGTAAATGACAGATTCACCTGCAATTTTCACCTATGAAAAGATGAGGTAGCTCTTTCTGCAGTCAAAACCATCCCTGCCCCTTAGGTCCCTTTCTTAGCAAATGATTCTCCTCCAACATCCCAGTTGTGCAAGCCAGAGCCCTAAGTACCATTTTTTGGCCTTATTCCTAATACGTAATCAGGACCAAGCCCTCCTGTATTTTGAATACTGCCACTTGCCCCATCCTTTCTGCAATAACCTTAGTTTAGAGCACATCATATCTCATCTAAATTATTGCAACAGCCTTTTTTTTTTGTTTCTCCTGCCTCAAGTCTTGCTCCCCTTAATCAGTTCCCCATACTGCAGCCAGAGAGATTGAGAAAGCAACAATTCTTTGAAATAACATGTTTATTTTTCAGAGTCAGAAATGCTTTCAATCAGAGCATAGGTTATTTTGTTCCATTTTCTGGCTTCCTTACAGAAAAATGGCAATATCACAAGAAGTATGGGTGATATGATCTTGATCACAGGCTGAAGGGATTTTTTTTTTCAACCAGAGATCACAGAAGAGGAATCAATTTAAAAAAAATTATTTTTCAATTTGCTAAAAAGTGAGTCAACAACTCTTTAAGATCTGAAACTGCAGAATTCCCAGTTTAGGTAAGAGCTTTGTAAGAACTAGTACTTTTAGGAAGTTTACCAGGAGAGAAATTTCACTATTTAGCTCTTTGAGGGTGATGTATCCAGCTTTCTATTGTAAAAATGTGTATTGATAAATGCATGCCTAAGTCAAAGGGTGAAGAATAAGAAGAAGGATTCTAGTCAGAGAAACTCTCCTATATTCTAAAGGAAAGTTATCTTTTCTAGTCCATCCCAATGGTGAGGGAAGAAGATACAATTTATCTCATTAGCTTTAAGAGTCAATTACTATCACAGTTTTACAGAGAAGTATTCTTGGGGAGGTTAAATATCTTCGTTAAGATTCTAGATCTTCTAAGTGGAGATTCAAACCCAAACACAAGAATGTGAGTTCTTAAGTTAGCTTTCTCACGGCTTTGATATAAGTGTTGCTTTCAATACTCAAACACTCTTATGAGATAGGTTTTCTCATTCTAGAGATATGGTTATCAAAGTTTAAAGGGTTTAAAATTTGCCCATGTCACTCAGTAAGTGACAAGGCTGACATTGAAAGTCATACTTGGCTACTTCCAAAGCCCGTGTTTTTCTAGATGTCTTCCAAGAGAGCATTCTGTTTATTGTCTCATGGATGCAGTTAATGGTACGTGACAGTGTTCAGAAGTGACTGAATAACTAGCAATAATCATAAAAGCACATTATCAAAACTTCACGGTGTAAACTTTGTGCTTCATAAATATTGTTAAAATGAGGTTCTGACCAATAAAATGTCAGGAAAGTTAGTATAAATTGGACAAGGGCGTGATGGTAACTTCAAAACTTAATTTGGCAATATTCACATCAGATTCTGATTTAATCCTTAGCAAAATGAAGGGCTCCCTTTTGACTTTAATTCTATTCCCTCTCTTACTTGCCATCTCAGAGGTGAGGAGTAAGGAGTCTATGAAACACTGTGGGCTAGAGTAAAAGCAGATGTCTACATCTGGGCTAGCTCCAGGTGGAGAAGGCACCCGGAAGGGACCCCTCAACGTCAGCAAGGTAACATTAACTCATGTGACTCCTTCATTTATTATTTTTTTTCCAGGCTCGTTTTAGCACCTGTTTCTCTGGATTTCTAAGCCACTTCTGTATCAGTTTAAGGGGTTAATTATCAAAATAAATTGAATTTGGCTTGGGAAAGAAGTGAGCTTGATACCTTTCAGAATATAAGGACCTTTTTTGCTTTGTCTCCAGCTTGACGTCATTTGATTGTGTAACTACCTCTATGAGCTCACCATCTATGGCTGGTGCTATGGGGACTAGAGAGAAGCACATGATTTATTTTTTTTATTTTTTTTATTTTTTTTTGAGAAGCACGTGATTTTAAGGGACATGTTGAAGTGGCAGGGATAATTTCACACGTGGGTAACTGTCGAATAACAAGTTGGAATTCAGGTGAGTGCTAAATAAGGATGGAAGGAAGGAAACTGTTATTGAGCACTTATTAAGTGTCAGGTGGTTTTATGTGCAACATCTCATTCAGTCTACTGATAAGCTTCCTGTGAAGTAATATTACCCCCATTTACCATTTTACTGGGGACGAAATTGTTCACCCAGCTAGTAGGTGGTGTGGCGAGGGAGCAAAGCAGGTCCATCTGGTTTCAAGAGCTGAGGTCTTTCTTTGTTCTATACTGTGTCTCAGGTGGGAAAAAGAAGATGGTGAACCCGTGTCATAAATGATAGCGTCACAGAGGCAGTGGTGTAGGATTTGGGGAGTGCTGAGCAGTGGGGCGAAGTGGAATTCTGGGGGGAATCCAGTAGGAATTGTTTGATCAGGATGTTGAAGGTAGGAATAAGCCTAGTGTGTTTCAGAAATACGGAGGGGACTGACTTCACGGTTTATTTCTTCATTTTTCAATTCAAGGAGTTTGACTGGAATTTTCTGCTAATCCTATATTAAAGTGTGAGGTAGAATTTATTTAAGACTCTATTTTAATCATAGAGTGTTATAGTTTTATAATAAAAAGTTCAAAAAGGAAAATGTGATTACATAATAAATGTTCCAAACACATATATAATTGTGAAGATTCCAGTGTGGTTTCAGATGACTTTGGTAAACAAAAGTATTTTATTTTTTTATTTTAATTTTTTAAAAGATTTTATTTATTTTTTCATGAGAGACAGAGAGAGAGAGAGAGAGGGAGAGGGAGAAGCAGGCTCCCAAGGAGCAGGGAGCCCGATGCAGGACTCGATCCCAGGATGCTGGGATCATGACCTGAGCCGAAGGCAGACGCTCAACCATCTGAGCCACCCAGGCGCCCTAAACAAAAGTATTTTAGAAAATGACCCACAGTTTTCATATTTTGGTGGGCTAATTTCTTGAAAAATTATGAACTTACCACTCCCACAATGAAAGGTTCACAGTTACTAGGTGTTAACAGATACAATAAAGGTTTTTAATCTCCAGAGAGTAAACATAATTTACCAGGCTTACCATTTTTTATCCATCTCTGCATCAGCAAGCCAAAATGCACTAGAAAGAATATATTTGGAATATCTATGAAATACATAGGGCAGTGAAATGGATGTCTGCGCAAGACTTTCTTTTTACCACCACAGACATCATAATGCAGTGTATATAATCTTTCACAGAGTATTTTCTCATATATTATTTCTTCGACCCATTAGTGGCTTACTAATGAGCATTCATTCATGTAGGTTTTCTTAGTGCTCGCCAGTAAGCCAAGGTACTGATAAATAAGTTGGAACCAAGTTAAATTGAGGGAGGACTTTGTTTGGGATAACAATGCGAACTACTTTTTGTTTTCAGACCTAGAAGTTTAAACCTCCACTTCCTTCCTTACCAATCAGCTTTGCAAGGCATACCCAGGGTTATTTGTTGTTTGTGTGTTTTCAATTTATAGCACGTAACGAATACCTCGGAGGCAGCTGGTCAACGAGCAGAGGCGGCCAGTACAACGCAAGGCGAGCCCTGACTTGGCTACTGGCTGGCCCCCAGCCCCTGGTTGTGTCATGCCTCCTCTCTGCTCTCATGTTGCCTCCTCCGCCAAAACAGGAGGCTCGAGATGACTGAGTTCTCCCCAGAATGTCTAATCTTTCTGAAAGCAGACCAACATTTAAAGAAAATGATGTGTAGGGTTCAATTTCTTTTAAAAAATCCAGGCGTCGAACTTGGCGGCTACCTTCCTTCTTTGTCAGCGCCCTTGGAGGAAGTATGGTTTTTCCTCTTCTGTACAGCTGAGTGAGGAAACGAGCTCCAGCTCCCAAATGAGCCTGTTTCTGAGGAAGACGCAGCGCCAAGCCTCTCAAAGGTGGATTCCTCAGGGAAGGAAAGTCTTCCAGATGGACAGCTGCCCCCTGAAGGGCGTTGGGGCTCAAAGAAGCATTGGGTGATGTCGACACAAGACTCACAAAGAGTCAGCTGCCCTGCCTGTTGTTCCATGCCTGATTTGCCCGCTCTTTGTTAAGACCAGAGCTGATACCCAACAATGGTGGAGCTTTAGCACGTGTCAACATGTTTTTACTGCTCAGGACAACGCTTATATTGTGTTATTAAAACAATGGCTTTTGGCAAGGCAATCTTTCTTCCCTAAAAGTTGTGGGTGAGTGGTGAAAACCACAATGAAGTCTATTTTCTCCCTTTGCCACGGTGAATGCACTGTTCTTTTAAAATTTTAACGAATCCTTTGAAATTTGAAATGCTGTGCAAAACTGCAGTAAAAATGCCATAAACCAGGCTCACTGTGATTTTCTCCTTTTAAAAAATATTTTAAAGTAACTTTAAAACAGTAAACAGATTATGCTGACGGTAAGAAAATGTAGAACAAAACAAAACAAGCATAAAAAGAAAATAAAAATCAACTGTTACCACATCACCCAGAAATAACTATCCACTCTTAACTTTCGGGTTGCTGTATATTATTACTGAGAACTTAAACACTGATTCATGGTCAAGTATAAGAATCTAAACAAAGTGCTTTTCTCAAAAAGTGCTTGATAAACATTTCCTAATATGCAGCCCTTCTCCTTGAGGATAGCTGGAGGCAGATGTGTGTCAGGTCCCCAAACAGCTAAAACCCAGAAAACGTTTGAATAATAAGCTCTTTCCTATAGTCTGGGCTGTTTTGGGTTTTGCTTTCCCAGAGATAAAAGGACATTGTATTCTCATTCTACAAGTTAAACTGAGACCCACATAGCTGAGTCTTGTGACACAATTGGATGTCTTCACAGACAGAAAGACAAAGTAAGGAAATCACAAAACTATGTTTTCATTTGTAACTCTGACAGTCAACACTCCAGGGGGTTGTAACAATAGATTCTCTGTTCATCTGAGGTGCTGCTCTTATTAATACCGCAGTCTGTATTTGAAATTCATCTACTACGTATTGGGCACTGAAACTGTGTCAAGGCATTGTGCATGGCATTTAAACATTTACTTCATGTATTTGTTGCAGGAAACCTATGAGAGTGGATAGTACTTTATCACGGTTTTGCAGATAAAGAAACTAAGGCTCAGTGGAATTACGTAAACATGTCCTAAGTCACACACAGCTAAGGAGGTGGTGTTACTGGATTCAAATTTAGGCTACTTAGCATGAATCAAGGCAGTCACATCAAACCGTACTGGTAGTCAATGTATTCTTCACCACCAAGAACAACACTCCGATAACAACGGGAACTACCCTGGGTTCTTTTGTTTGTTGTTTTTTGGGGGTTTTTTTTGGTTGTTTGTTTGTTTTATTTGGTCTCACTGTAAGAATGTCCATTGATGAGGCAATAAGAATTCATTAAATTAAGTCTCAGTCCTTGAGTACGTGCCTTTTCAATATGGTGGGTGGTGAAATGGGAAGATGCAGGAAGCACTTTTGGAACATACTGGAGTGTGATGGTTGTCTCACGGTAAAGCACTTACGTGATTGAGTTGTGAGCTTAAAACTAGATGCTTTTTCCAGGAAGCACTTTTCTTTTCTTTTTTTAAAAGACAGACTAAAAAACTGTAGTTATTCAGACTTGGATATTTGAAATTAAATGAAAAAAGATATGAAAATGAACAAAGTAAGCCTGTCACTTCAAGGAAAACAATTGACAATATTTGTTGCTGATGATAAAATTCAAGCTTACAAGCAATTTTGGAACTTTTATCCATCACCATGAGCATCAGTGGTGATATTAATGAATTTTATTTTTTGATATTCATTGTGTAATGAAATGTGTCAACATTTGGGAGATCAGCATAACTCGGTGAACCAATATTTTCCAAATGAGCAATGCATGATATTAGAAAATCATAAATAGGTAAAATATCCATCCCAAGTGCAAAATAAAGATTTTAATCTAACAGTACAACAATTCATTGATGTGATTTCAGATTCTACATTGCGACTAACCTTTAATAAACAGCCACTTGTTGGGTTTTGGTATACTATTAAAAAAGAATATCAAAATTATGTGAAAAGATAATTTTATTAGATAAAACTGAAATAATCTTAAATTAATGAAATTAAAATAATCTATTAAAATAATCTTCCCTTTTCCAACCAAATATCTGGATTTTCTATGAGGCTGGATTTTCTGTGAGGCTGGACTTTCCTCATATATATCAATCAACACGACACACAGTAACAGATTGAATGCAGAAGCTGATATGAGAATTGAGCTGTATTCTATAAAGCCAGTCTTTAGAGATTTGCAAATATATAAAACAATGCCATTCTTTTCACTATGTGTTTTGTTTTGTGAAAATAGACATTTTTCATAAAATATGCTATTGTGTTAACATGTGGTAGGTAGGTTTATTATTTTTAAATGAGATAATATATATGTTTAAATTTCTGTTGTAAATTCCATTATGATAAATATGGATAAATTCAACCCACACAGACAAAAACCCTTTGAAGTTCTTAATAACTTTTAAGAGTGTAGAGTACTGAGACCAAAAAGTTTGAGAGTTACTGTTCTCTAACATGTAATTTTGACATTTCACCAATAGGTATTCACCAAGTTGTTTGAAGTATTTGCCATTACAAATAAAGATGCACTAAACAGCCTTGTTTATGTATCCTTACATTGTCACTTTTATTTCAATGAGATAGCTTATCAAGTTTTTAGGGGAAAGGTGTGTTTATTTTTTTCAGTATATTTGTATTAGTTACTATTTATTTGATATATACTTATTAGTTATTTAAAATGTATCTATGTATTTTAAGTACATAGAGAAACAAAGAGGAAAAATGGGACCTACTCTATTCACTTGAATAAATCGTATAGCCAGGTTTTTTTGGGGGGGGAATATATGTATCAAGTTAGGAAATTCAAACAGTCCAGAGAAATATAAAATAAAACAAAAGTTTCATTCTCTTCCATTTGGTTCTAAGTTATAATATAATTATAGTATAACCCTTATTGAGGGTTTCTTATAATTTCTGCCAGGAATAAAAATCATGTTTATACTGAATTTATGTAGTATAGCTACAAATACAGTTAGATAGCTTCCTCCCTATCTATGTATCTATCATCTGTCTATCTACCTACCTATCTCCCTATTTATTATCTATAGCAGAGACTTTTAGCTGTCCACCAACATTTCTCCTCTTCTTCTTGGGCACACAGCTAGATGACATTTCTGTCTCCTTTGAAGGTACATGTGATTGTGTGACTAATTCTGGCCAATTAAATGTGAGTAGTAGTGATACGTGCCAATTCCAAGATTAGCCCTTAAAATCTTAGCAACTTAGCAAGAACATCCTTTGAGTTGTTTTATGTTTGATTTTATTTTTTGTAGCAGTTGGCCTAATACAATACCTACTGAGTCCATCATACTATTTTACACAAAAAGTATACATACTATCTTACATCTTGTGGTTGTATGTAGTATACCTTGGAGATATTTCAGTAACACCCTGGTATGTGTATTTTAAATTTAAAAACACATACTGAGAGATTACCGTCTAAAAAGTTTGTATTGGGCGCCTGGGTGGCTCAGTTGGTTAAGCGACTGCCTTCGGCTCAGGTCATGATCCTGGAGTCCCTGGATCGAGTCCCGCATCAGCAGGGAGCCTGCTTCTGCCTCTGACCTTCCCCCCTCTCATGTGCTCTCTCTCTCTCATTCTCTCTCTCTCAAATAGATAAATAAAATCTTAAAAATAAATAAATAAATAAATAATAAAAAGTTTGTATTAATTCATATTCTCACTAGAAATTTGTGAGAGTACCTATTTCTCTATATCCTCATCTGTCCATACGGTTATTATGCTTGCAAAAATTTGCAATTCTTAAAGGTGAAATATTGAATATAATTTTTGGTTTTATTGGCATTATCATGACTATGACCACCTTTCATTTTTATTGGACATTTGTATTTTCTATTCTGTATATTAGTCTGTTTATGTACTTTGCCCATTTTTTTACATATTTATAATACCTTTATTATCAATTTTCAAAGCTTTTTTTATATTAAGGATACTAACTTTTTTTTAAAGATCTTATTTATTTGACAGAGAGAGAGAGCATAAGCAGGTGGAGCGGTAGGCAGAGGGAGAAGGAGAAGCAGGCCCCCTGCTGAGCAGGGAGCCCGATGTGGGGCTCCATCCCAGGACCCTGGGATCATGACCTGAGCCGAAGGCAGGCACTTAATCGACTGAGCCACCCAGGCACCCCAAGGATACTAACTTTTTGACTGTCATCAGAGTAAAATATTTTCCCCTAGTCTTTTGTATGTCTTGACTTCAGTTAGGATGTCTTTTGCCAATGTCTATCTTTTCCTTTATAATTTCTGTATTTTCTGCTTTGCTTAGGAAGATCTCCCTTAGTGCAAGGTTGTACAGGAATTCTACTAAATTTTATTCTGATAATTTTGTTTTGTACCTTTGCATTTAAATTTAATCCATATTACATTTATTTTTTTATAATGTGAGGTATTTAATTTTCATCTTCTTCCAAATTGACAGAAAATTTTTCCTGCATTATTTATTAAATGAACCATCTTTTGCCCATGAAAAGTTCATGTCACTTTAGTCATATGTTGTTTTCATTACATTTGGAACTATTATAGGGCCTTTATTCTGTTCACTGCTCTATTTATTCTGAATTAGCCGCATGCTATTTCAATTGCAGTAATTTTATGGTAAGTTTTAATATCTTTTAAGAAAAGTTGTCCATCATTACAGATTAGGTTATGGGGGGGGATTTTTATGGCGATTATGAGACATAGATTCTTCCATATGGATTTTATAATTGTGTTATTTTGTTCCCCCCCAAATTTCATTGGAATTACAATTTCAATGGCATTACATTTGCATTAATGCAGGAAATATTGTATTCTAACATATTAAGAATTCCAACCCAAAATGTTACTATAATAACATAGGTATTTTGTTCCTTTTAATATCTTTTTGTAATGTTAATTATGTAGGTATTGTACTTAAAAAAAATATATATATTTTCTTTAAATTCAATTTAGTTAACATATAGTGTATTATCAGTTTCAGGAATAGAATTTAGTGATTCATCAGTTGCATATAACACCGAGTGCTCATAACATCAAGTGTCCCTCACTCATCTTCCCTCCAGCAACCCTGTTTGTTCCCTATAGTTAAGAGTCTCTTATGGTTTGCCTCCCTCTGTTTTTATCTTATTTTATTTTTCCTTCCCTTTCCCTGTGTTCATTTATTTTGTTTCTTAAATTCCACATGTGAGTGAAATCATATGGTATTTGTCTTTCTCTGACTGACTTATTTTGCTTAGCATAATATCCTCTAGTTCTATCCATGTCATTGTGAATGGCAAGATTTCATTCTTTTTGATGGCTGAGTAATATTCCATTGTATATATACACATACTACATCTTCTTTATCCATTCATCTGTTGAAGGGCATCTCGGCTCTTTCCACAGTTTGGCTATTGTGGACATTGCTGCTATGAACATTGGGGTACAGGTGCCCCTTCTTTTCACTACCTCTGTATCTATGGGGTAAATACCAAGTAGTGCAATTGCTGGGTTATAGGGTAGCTCTATTTTCAACTTTTTGAGGAACCTCCATACTGTTCTCCAGAGTGGCTGCACCAGTTTGCATTCCCACCAACAGTGTAAGAGGGTTCCCCTTTCTTCACATCCTCGCCAACGTCTGTCGTTTCCTGACTTGTTAATTTTAGCCATTCTGACAGGTGTGAGGTGGTATCTCATTGAGGTTTTGATTTGGATTTTCCTGATGCTGAGTGATGTTGAACATTTCTTTATGTGTCTATAAGCCATTGGTATGTCTTCTTTGGAGAAATACCTGTTCATGTCTTCTGCCCATTTTTTGACTGGATTTTTGTTTTTTTGGGTGTGGAGTTTGATAAGTTCTTTATAGATTTTGGATACTAGCCCTTTATCAGATATGCCATTTGCAAATATTGTCTCCCATTCTGTAGGTTGCCTTTTAATTTTGTTAATTGTTTCCTTTGCTCTGCAAAAGTTTTTAATCTTGATGAAGTCCCAATAGTTCATTTTTGCTTTTATTTCCCTTGCCTCTGGAGACGTGTCTAGCAAGAAGTTGCAGTGCCCTAGGTCTAAGAGGTTGCTGCCTGTGTTCTCCTCTAGGATTTTGATGGATTCCTGTCACATATTTAGGTCTTCCATCCATTTAAAATTTTTTTTGTGTGTATAGTGTAAGAAAGTGGTCCAGTTTCATTTTTCTGGACAACATGTGGCTGTCCAATTTTCCCAGCACCATTTGTTGAAGAGACTGTCTTTTTTCCATTGGATATTCTTTCCTGCTTTGTTGAAGATTAGTTGACCATAGAGTTAAGGGTCCATTTCTGGGCTCTCTATTCTATTCCATTGATCTATGTGTCTGTTTTTGTGTCAGTACCATACTGTGTTGATGATTACAGCTTTGTAATACAGCTTGAAGTCTGGAATTGTGATGCCTCCAGCTTTGGTTTTGTTTATCAACATTACTTTGGTTATTCAGGGTCTTTTCTGCTTCCATACAAATTTTAGAATTGTTTGTTCCACCTCTGTGAAAAATGCTGGTGGTATTTTGATAGGAGGTCTTGTACCTTTTTTTTTTTTTTTAAGATTTTATTTATTCACTTGAGACACAGAGAGAGAGAGAGAGAGAGAGATAGAATGAGCAGGGAGAGAGGCAGAGGGAGAGGGAGAAGCAGGCTCCCAGCTGAGCCAGGAGCCCGATGTGGGACTCGATCCCAGAACCCTGGGATCATGACCTGAGCCGAAGGCAGATGCTTAACCATCTGAGCCACCCAGGGGCCCCAAGGTCTTGTACCTTTTTATATTACCTTTTTTATTTACCATTTTTGTTTGCCACAGTGAATGAGAAATTTCCCCCACGTTCATTTCTAAATGCTTGTTATGGTACAAAGAAAAATCTTGTTTTTTGTATATTCATCTTTATCTCCAGCAGCCTTGTCCAGTTATTTTACTAATTTTAGTGGCTGCTTTATTAGTCTTTCTTGGGCTTTCTAGGTATACGATATTGTTATCTACTAATAAAAAGGTAATTTTGTCTCTTCCAGTATTTAAGCTGATTGCTTCACATTCTTTTTTTTTTTTTTTTTAAGATTTATTTATTCATTTGAGAGAGTGAGAATGAGAGAGAGTACATGAGAGGGGGGAGGGTCAGAGGGAGAAGCAGACTCCCCGCCGAGCAGGGAGCCCGATGTGGGACTCGATCCAGGGACTCCGGGATCATGACCTGAGCCGAAGGCAGTTGCTTAACCAACTGAGCCACCCAGGCGCCCCTGCTTCACATTCTTATTACATGACTCATAGTGCAACAATTAGTTATTGAGATTAATGCCAGGCATTGTTGTGGATACTAAGGATACCAATGTGAATGAAACAGATGAATAAAGTGTCTATTCTATGGAAGACAAACATAAACACAAAAAATATTAAATAATGACTGAGAAAAGAAAGTATGGAAGGGGGATTGGAAAGCTTGGTGGGGGAGTGAATTTTACACAGGGTGGCTAGGGAAGGCCTCACTGGGAAGGTAACTACAAGAAAAATTCTTAATAATGGTGATGATGTTAGGCATTTCTTTCATAGTCCTAATTTTAATGGAAACAGCTTTAACATTTCAGTACTCAGTATGATGTTTGCTGGTTAAAATATTTTTAAAAATAAATAATATAAATAAAGTAGTCTTTACATTATATATGTGTATATAATATTGGTCATCTTAAGAGTGTTATTCTATTATGTATCGCTTAAGAACTTACTTTGTTATAGCTTCTCAATTTTATCAAATACCTATTTAACTTCATCATATGATATTTTTCTCTTTTGTTAAGATGAAAAATTACTTTGATAACCTTCCTTATGTTGAAATTTTTCTGCATTCTCAGAATAAATCTATTTGATCATAGAAAAATATTCTTTAATTTGATATTTTGTATATCAGAAGAACTGAATGTGCTTTTTATTTATCTGTGGCTTTTGTTAATTCACTTTGATAGGAAAATGAAGCAAATTCATGTTTAATGAGTGACATGATATACTTGATTATATTCCATATAATCTAGTATTCATTTTAATTTTTTTTGTTTGCATGGCTAATGTAATTTTTTTGTTTGCATGGCTAAATTAGTAAGTCAGAAAGGGGGTTCCTCACTTACTAATTTAGAAATGCTATTGTCATTTTCTATGTATTGCTGCTTACTTTCCACTTTCTGCTAGATATATTAAAATCTCAACTTCTTTATTATGATTACAACTCTCTTCCTCCACTAAGATGAACCCTTTAGAAGCCAGGTGGTCAAACTATGGCCCTTGGGCCAAATATGCCCTACCATCTGATTTTGTATGGCTCACATGCTAGAAGGGTTTTTACTTTTTAAATAGTTGGAAATAAGTCAAAAAGAATAATAACTTCATGATACATGAAGAATACATAAAACTGAACTTTCAGTTACATAAAGAAACTTTTATTGAAAGACAGTGACACTTACTTGGTTACTTACCATCCAGAGCTGCTTCTGTGCCTCAGTGGCAGAGTTGAATAGTTATGCTGGAGACCATACGGTCTACAAAGCTGAAAATATTTACTATCTGGCCCCTTACTGTTTGCTAACCTATGCTTAAGGACTGTTCCTAATTGTCTAATTTTCCTCACATTGACCCAGCTCTCTAGAGTGGGTCCTCAGAAGGCTTTAACTTGTGCTTATGAACTGGGATGCAAATAAGCAACTTAGCTGTGGTTTTAATTTTTTAGCCCTCCTACCAAAGTAAAGTTCTTGATATAGAATAGATTTTCTTAAAGAAAAAAAATAAAGATAATGTATTTTTATAATTAACTAACAACATATAGTTTATTTTTCCTTAGTTTCAAAATGAAATAGTGGCTCTTGAAGCTTAGTATTTCTCATATGAATTTTAATTTTGTCCTTTTGGCAGTTAGAAGATCCATCCTTGTTGTCTGTGGGAAGCAACAATTTTCCTTTTTTGATTACAAATGGAAAGTGAAGCTTAAAGCTTCCCATACTGGTTATACTGGTTTCCTGTCTTGCTAAGTAGGGAAATAGCCTCGTGGGTGGGTGGAGAACCACAAGTTTCAAGTTATGTCCTGCACAATGGGGGAAAAAAGTTGTGTACCGTAGTTAAACTGTGATGAAAGAAACAGAGGAGAAATTACAGGAAACTTTAATCAGATACTTAATATATTTAAGCCTCAGTAAACCTTATAGTAGTGTTCTAGTATGTGTTCATGCATGTGAAGAAGGGAAGAGAACATGTAAGTTCAAATGGACACAACACAGGAAAAAATAAGTAGCAATAAGTAAAAACATTAAAAGTAACTAAGAAAGTACTGAAGTGGAGACAAGACATCTGATTGGAAGTATAAAAACAGGCAGAGATTAGCAAAAAGAAGCTAAATTGGGGGATGAATAGCATTTTATAATAAATGTGGACTTGAGGAGAAGTTATTTAACATTCAAAGATGGCAGTAGCAGACGATTAAAACTTTGAACCAAAAGGAACCAAGTAGTCTAGGGTATTACTTTATGGTGGTGAGCAGAAATTGCTAAAACATATGATCAATTCTTTAGGAAAACAGGATCTGCAGGAAGAAATTGGATGTCCAGAGTAAAGGTCTGTGATGGGCTCGATGTTTTACATGTATACTCTCTCTCTGCCTTCAGGGCAAGAACATGAGCAGTGGTCATTGATCACTGATCAATGACAAATAGTGATCATTATTATAATCATTTTTACCTTTGAGAAAACGGGCTCAGGACATTGGCCACTTTGCCCAAAGTTGCACGGCTAGGACAGGTTGGAAGCTAAAATGAGTATTTGTCTTCAAATCTGTGCTTAAAAAAGCACAATAAAACAAAACAAAACAACAACAATAAAAAATGACTTCAAACAAAAAACAACTACATCACACTGCTGCTCAAAAGAAATGAATTCAGAAGAGAGCTGAGGTGGAATGGGGCCGAAGAAACGCGTGGCAGATTTGGCCTGGAGCACCACTTGGCTGTTTGTGAAAACATCTTGGTGGTAGGCATGCAGATAGTAGGAGGGAAAAGTGGGAGCAGAAGAGATGGTGGGTGCCGGTCACTTCTTTAAGAATTTTGAGAATAAAAAAGCATAAAATTATAAGTAACTATTTAATATTGAGTTTTCTTAATGCATTTTTTGGATAATACCTAGAAAGACAGGTCAAGTAATGGTCCCAACAAGGCAAGGGTTCATTCTCTAAAATGCTAGATTTAAAAGCTCTAATTTCTCAACTGTTGTTTTTTAAATCACCCTCTATACTGGATAATTCCCAACATTAAAAAAGAAAAAATCAATGAGCTGAAGTAGTGCTTAATTTCCCAGCACATAATCTATTGGACTCTGTTGTAGGGGCCTCCTAATACATTTCCTTTAAAGTCGTTGTATTAACAATGACAACAGACAACAGCATTGATATTTCCATTCAAGATGCTGATGTATTTATTTCTTATGATGTCTGGCAACAGAAATGGATCATACAGAAGTTTTTTAGGGGCACCTGGGTGGCTCAGTCGTTAAGCGTCTGCCTTCAGCTCAGGTCATGATCCCAGGGTCCTGGGATCGAGTCCCATATCGGGCTCCCTGCTCGGCAGGGAGCCTGCTTCTCCCTCTCCCTCTGCCTGCCTACCTGTCTGCCTACTTGTGATCTCTCTCCCCTTTGTCAAATAAACAGAATCTTTAAAAAAAAAAAAAAAGAAATTTTTTAAAACAAAAATATAAAGAAATAGAGGCCTTATTTAATTTTAGCTTTGGGGGAAAATTTTCGTATCGATTCTGGGGGAGGGTTTCCTGCGGACATTCCCAGAGTTAACTGAATTTTCAGTAATTTGCTATTAGTACTCACTATACTTGCTGCTGCGGCTGCTAATGAATATTTTATAAAGCAGGAGGAAGATGTTAGGTTTCAATTTGGATGACTGCCAAGTCTAAATCTCTCACCTTGATGTAGCTCAGCTCCAGTCCCATTTTTTCAGCTGCCTCAGGCTATTTCCATCTGAACGTCCCATTATTAACTGAAATTCAACAAGTGAAAAATCAAGCTTAGTATTTTAGTCCTCAAATTCTTCCTTGCTGACTTCTTTATTTTTGCTACCAGGACCACTGATTTAGTTGCCCAGACTCAAACTCTCAGCTACGGTCAAAGGAGCTACTATTGACTGAGGGCTTCCCATCTGTTAAGCGCTTAGTAAACGTGTACTTCTGCTTGTTTTTAGCAAGCAAGGCTGCACCTCCAAACCCCTCCCTTCGAGTCAGTGTTCAGCTTCATGGTATGGCTCTGATGGCTGCCGGCTCCACCACCGTCTGCCTCAGTTTAAAACTCTGTGAGTTGGATTCCAGCATTATCACTGCTTTGCTTGAAGATGAGGAAGCTTCGGCTTAAGTGAGTTATGTCATTTATTTAAGGTCAGTTACCTAACTAGTGACTAGGACAGCAGGACTCAGACCTGACCCTGCAAACATCCAGAGCCGCGGGGCGCCTGGGTGGCTCAGTCGGTTAAGCGACTGCCTTCGGCTCAGGTCATGATCCTGGAGTCCTGGGATCGAGTCCCGCATCGGGCTCCCTGCTCGGCGGGGAGCCTGCTTCTCCCTCTGACCCTCCCCCCTCTCATGCTCTCTCTCTCTTTCTGTCTCAAATAAATAAATAAAATCTTAAAAAAAAAAATTAAACAAAAACAAAAACAAAAAACATCCAGAGCTGCTTTGTCACCTCGGACTCCTCCTTCCCTTTTGCCTGGTCATGAAGACTGTCCCTAAACTGCTCCATACAACTGTCCTCTCCTTTCCATCTCACTCAGTTGCTCCTCTCATTACCTCTCCTGTCTCCTGGGTGGTCTTCCCGCTCTTTACTGACAGATTCATCTTCTTAAAGAGTCACTTCATCTACACAATGAGCCGATGAGCTGAATGAAAAGCCTTCAATGACTACCCATGACCTGAGTGTGGCTTTCTTGCCCGGACATTCAGGTTACCATCCATGGACCCTTCCAGTCTTAGTTCTAACCCCTTATCTTCATGAACACTGTGTTTTATTTATCCAGGCTAGACTTCTTCATGCACTCTGAACTCCTCTGTCTGTTGAAATTCTACTTAGCAACTTCGTCGTCTAGGTAAGTGCCACTTCCTTCATGAAGCCATCCCCGATTCCCTTAAGCAGATAAAGATATTCTGGACTTTTCTTATGAAAACATATTCTAGCTTGTACTGTGGTCACTTGTGTACTTATCCCTATAGGATCTCAGTTCCTCTAGAGTTAAACTGTGTGTTGCTATTATCTTTGCTGTTGGTAGTTAGGTAGCATAGGGCAATCAGTGCCTGTGATCTCACTTGAAAAGTTAAAATGTGTTCAGTTTTATTGTCCAGTGCTGTCAGGATATGTGGTCCATGTACTCCAGATGTTTTCAGTCTAGTAAGGAAAACAAAACTATTATTCACAAATTACCTAGAGAACAATCAGGAGCCTGACTATGAGAGATGAAAGCAGAGAGAGAACAGGAGGGAAGGAATGGATGGAGGAGGATTTAGAGAAAAGGCAAGACCAGAGTTTGATGCTGAAAAGTGAAGAAATTTGCTTTAAGTGGAAAGGGGTGTTCTGGGTAGGGAAAAGCATGAGTGAAGGCTCCCTGGTAGGGGTGGGCACGGCAGGTCTGGGAAGAAGGACGTCACTTTAGGAACACCTGCTGGGAAGGCAAAATACTAGGAAAGTTCAGGGTGTCTCAAAGTAGAACAATTCCCTCAAATTTACAGTGTCATTTCTTTTTTTAAAAAGGTTTTATTTTTAAAACCAAGATACAATTGACAACGTGGTTTAAGGTATACAACGTGTTGACCTGATACATTTGTATTTTACATGATTACCTCCATGGTGTTAGCTAATGCATCCATCAAAGCTTCCTATCATCAGACTTTTTGTGATAACCAGCACTCTTCCAAGTTAGTCGCAATTAGTGGGTTTTTACTGTATATTCTTATGCTGCTATATAATTGCTAGAATTCATCATTGACTGTCTGAATTACAGTACATGGCAATATGCTGTTTAACTGCTTCCTTTTTTGCTTTTTAACTACCATTATGTTTTAAGGTTTTGATTCCTAACACAGCCTAAGACAGATGGTAAGAAATTATCTCATGGATGAGACTTTAGGACTCTAAAAAAATAAAGCTGTTTTTGTAATGGACTTTCTATGTACTATGAATTTTCTTCATTCTGATTTACTCATGCAAAATTGCAATATGATTGCCCCTGCTCTTGCTCCAAGAGGGGAGATGTTCACAAATGTATAATGAAAATATGCAGCTCATTTACTTACTGTACTTATGACCTAATCCAGATTCAAAACTGGCCTATGGAGATGGGCCAATATTGGTTATGATGAATTATTACACAGACATATTCCCACTAAGGCACTAACAGAAAAAAATAATGAAAATTGACTAATTCATTTTGAAAAGCTACCTTAAAAGCCAGAACAAGCGGAAGGAAAGGGATTTTAAAAGTATACACTTTTTTTAGTACAGGTTCTTTTGGGGGAAAATAAGACATCAATTCATTTTAAAGCTATAAAGCATTGACTCTTTTCCCATTTGCTAAATTCTTTATGATATGAATGACACATCATTTTTTTTTTCCTTAAGACTATAGCGTTGCTAATTTTCTCCACATGTGTACAATTTGTCTTTGACCTTTAACAAATGTCCTCTGGGCAGTTCACTTACCATCCAGGAAAAACGCAAAGCGTTGAAAGCTCCGTAAAAATAAATGATCCATAGTCCGAGCTACATTAAGCAGCAGAATAATAAGCTATTTCAGCCCTGTAAATTTTAGTGCCATCCATTCAAAACTGCACGGGTCACTTCAGCACTAAATTCATAGGAACAAAATAGTAAATACACATGTTTTATTTGTTAAGCTGCCAGCTATCTATTTTGTGTAAAAAGTTGGTTAGCCAAGAAAAACCTATTTACAGGCACATCAGGCAGCATATATTTAAAAGCGGTGTCTCTTTCCAATACATGATTTTAAGTGTTACAGATACATTTACTATTAAACATCATGTATATTTAATACAGCAATGTCTACTGCAGTGCCCTAAAAGCCTTTGTTCGCTTTATAGTCTCCATTACTGGAGAGCCAACATTCAGTTCTCCCACAGTTTTGTAAAGTGCAGGCAACCCACAAGAGCTTCTAGTTTTAGCTCTAGCAGCCCTGTGGGACTACAGTAATTGTTATGAAATCATTAATTCTACCTCAGCAGTTTCAACTGTCAGGTACATGTAACAATAATTGCAGTTAATGAATGCTGCTCAATTTATTAAGTACCGAATGAAAACCAGTGTTCTTTTATATGCAGCACTGAGACACATTCACATTTATCATTTGTGTATACCATGTTGAATATTCTTCTGCCCTTTATTGGTCAGGGGATGTAGTCATGTTTGTTTGTTTGTTTTTAACTTCTCTTCATTACAAAAAACAATACAGGAAATTTTATCTCTCTCCATAAAGAGCAATTAAAGTAATTAGTACCAAAAGTAATATTAAATAAGAATCCATGTCTAAGAAAAACAATCTAGCAGAACCAAGACTTAGTTCTTCCTCTGGATAAACAAGAGTCTTTCCTGTGCTACCTTCCCTCCCTCAGTTCTTAGAAGAGCATGAAAAAGTCCAAAAATTCCAGTTGTTTGAAATATTAGTGTTGTTTCTTTCTCAAACTTCTGGGTAGTAAAAATTTCGTGTACATAGATATGACCTATTTTTTGATTAAAAAAAGTAAGAACTAGATTTCTTCTTTTCAATCACTCGAAGTAAACAGCATAGACACTTGCAAGAGCAAAGAGAGAAGAATTTCTGAAAACATAAGATGAAAAGTTATCACTTTTAGGATCCCAGAGGCATCTGCTTCCAATAAGAATGCTCTGACTGTTCAGTTGTCCAATGTGAACAATCACAATTAGCTTGTACCGTGGAATCATCAGGTCCTTGACCTGGGTTTTAATAACCTAGAAATTGAAAGAACAACAACAAAAAAGGTCCTCAGCCGCATGGAAACTTAGAAGTCTTTATCTTTCATAAATATGGTGGATTGAAGAAAATCACATGATGTGTTGTAGATATTTTCAGTAACTGTTGTAGAAACTTAACTATGATTTCCTTTATTTTTTTAAGATTTTTTTTTTTTTATCTATTCATTTGAGAGAGAGAGAGCAAACAAGAGCATGAGCAGGGGAGAAGGGGCAGAGGGAGAAGCAGGCTCCCTGCTCGGCAGGGAGCCCGATGTGGGACTCGATCCCAGGACGCTGGGATCATGACCTGAGCCGAAGGCAGATGCTTAACCGACTGAGCCACCCAGCCACCCCCAACTATGATTTCCTTTAAGCACTCTTCTCCTGCCATAGGACACTTAAGAGACAAAATTATAGCACCAGCAGTGTGTCTACATTTTCTAAGACACATGGAAAAACTGTAATCCAGAGAACAGGATTTAAAGGATTTGTTACATTCTTTGAAAATCTACATTAAGACAGCTTCCCTTCAAAGAATGTTGGCATGAGAGTTATATCACCTTGTTTATGTGTAATTAAGTGAGCACCTATCTGGAGTCTCCTGTAATAGGACTAACCATGAATGTTTATTAAAGAGTTTGTTATAAAGAGGAAAGTGAAGAAAACTTAATGGAGTGCCAGCTCTTGAGTTGATAAAAAGAGAAATGTATTTAAAGACCACAATATCTATATTTGATGGCACTCAAGGAAACTAACTTGAACAAGAGAAAATGATCATTAAAACATATCCTTGGCAATAAATTTTTAAATAAATGGGGCAGTTTGGAAACATTTTTTAAACAAAATACATGCAAAATGATACACATAATTGTTTTGGCAAAGGCTTTTTACACACACACACACACACATACACACACACAGAATATGACCCAATAAATATTTTCATAAAATATAAACAAGCATTTTTACTGCTACTGCAAATTAATTGCCTTCATCAAAAAGTAAGAGTTGTCCTCTTAGCAATATTCTAGTTAACACTTCGAGCAAATCACATATATACCTCAGAAATTGTTTTAGTCATCTGTCTACAGAGCTCTGGTTCATATTGTTCTTCTTGTAGATAGTTAGTTAACACATCTTTCAGGATATGATTGACAATGGCCGCAGGAAAATGTTTGGTAGGACCTGAAAATACAGATGAAATTTCTAAGTAATTTCAAATGCTATCCGCCCACCCATAGTCTAATCAAAAGAGTACTGAATCATGGAGAGACATTTCATTTTCTGGGTGGCCTCTATTTAAGGAAAAAATCGTCCTAATTAGGTTTCTACACAGGTTCTCTGGCAGAGGGGCAGAAGACAACACACTCGTCCATTTACTAGGCTACCTAAAGAGTGTATATTTAGTACCATTGAGGTTTAATATTGAAAGTATCCTCCCTTCCAGTTTCCAGTGTTAATGACTTACTTTAAAGTCTCAACATCTTTCTAACTGACCCTCAGCTCTTATATCTCCAGCTCTTATATCTCCCACCTATGTATACCACACTACAACTGGAGGGGTCGTTCCAAAACCCAGATCTGGCTGTGATATTTCCCTTAGCAAAATCTAAGGTCCAGCACCTCTAGCCCCTTCGCCCCCCACCATAGCTCTCTGTGTGGCTGGTGTTCCAGTCTCATGAACCTCATCTGTCTTTTAAGGGATGCTTGTGGACATTTGTTCTTACTCCTCATTTTAAGGGCGATGGCCTTCCCTCCCTTGTTCATCTGAGAAATACCCACGCACATTTCAAGGCCAGTTCAAATGTCTTCTTCTCGAGGCAGCCTTCCTCCTCTCCTCAGGTAAAAAAAACAAAACAAAACATCCCTTCTTTTCAGTACTCCGAGTTCTCTGGATCCCCACTGCTCCGAATCCACCTGACAATAGCTAAAGCATTTCTGCCTTTCTCCTCTGTGAAATGGTAAGCTAGATCAGATTTTATCCTCCTCAGAGTCTAATACAATGCTAAAGGCAGAAGAAATATTTAATGCGTGATTTCTGGATTTAAATAGAAATAAACATTTTATAGGTAATAATCATAGTACAGATAATAACTACTTTTATTGAGCATTTTCTACATGTCATGTACTGTGATAAGTATATATTTATTACCTTACATTATCTTCCAATAAATCATTGGGGCGAATTTTACTGTTATCTCCCATTCACACATGGGAAAGCAGAGGCTTAAATACATTGAGTAACTTGCCCAGAATCACATAGTGACAGAGCTGGGAGGTCCTTCTTGTTTTATCTGACTCATGAGCTTATATTCTTAACCACATTTAGTCCACGTTCAGAGCAGAGGCTTCAGATGGATCTTCTTTATCTTGCATCCCAGGAATCTTCCCTATCCCTCAGGGGAGTATTAACCTCATCATCTCTCTGCCATTGAACGACACGTGCATGTGCCCAGAGCCTGGCATATAGTGGCCATCAGTATTTGCTGAATTGATATGGATAAAGGAATGAGATCAAGAATTATATTCAATTCTATTTTACTAGTCATCAGTATCTTTTAAGTGTTTATTTTTAATGACTGTATCAGGGTCCAAAGACATCTATGGCACACTAAAAGTAGGCCAGTTCCTGGAGGATTTAATAAAGAGACTCCTTAGGAAGTTCTGATCAGGATGCAGGACCAAAGGATGGTGCAGTATCCCTTGGCTAGTGAAATGGAGGGTGTTACCCCCATCCCATCCCAGGCTTGAGGGATCTGAGAAGGGAACTCTTACTAGACCCAGAAGAGGCAGGTGGAGAGGGATCACTTGAGGGCAGCTATGCCCTTCCATTGGTGGATGCAAACAGTGTGAGATGAACCCACCTTCAGGGTGTGGGGGGAAATAAACACCCTAGCTCACACTCCTCCCCCACTCTGACTTCCCACTGAAGTTTTCCATTGACCAGACTTAACTGGAAGGTTACAGCCTGTGCCTGTAGTTGAGCTAGGTCAGCCTCCTGAGACTCAATACATAGTATTTGTATTCTGATTATTATATAGGAATTGTTCAATTCAATCAGCCTGGGGAGTGAATCTGGATAGATGAAAGGGAGAGACACCTGATACAAAGAGTATGAAGATTAACCCCAATATTTAGTTAGCAGGAATCTATGTTCTACAGGACAGACAAGCAGTTATAAACACTGTAGGCCTGTAGGTTTACCACTCCAGGTTGGTCCTGACTGCTCCCGTCTCATGGGGTCAGATATAGGGCACCAGCCTGTGTGGGCAAGTTCCTAGGTACCTACAAGCTTCTGGGTCATCTTCCTGTGGATCTTTTACATTTCCATTTGCATTCTCAAGTGAAACGAGGCTAAATTTGAGAGTGGTTTCCCCCTTCTATTCAAGAAATTTAAAGATGTTACTACTGGCTCGGACTAAATTAAATAGATTATGTATGTTCTAACTATACCTTCCTGTTGTTCACTCCCTCCTACCAAGCACGCATATTGCATATGGCTTGACCTACATCACTCACATGGAACTTAATTTGGGCACATATTATGGTAACTTGTATGCCTTGTTCCCTTCAGCAAATAGTAAATTCCCTCAGTGCAGATATTTGTCTGTCTAGTACTCCTCCCTGTCATTTGGGAACAGCCTCTTGCCTCCTAGGAAGATGAGAATTTTCCAACTCTGACCAGATGGTTCTCTAGGATCTACCGTCACCTCCTTGAGCCCAAGTCCGGTTATGGTAGATTGGGCCAGGAGCGGCACTTGCCCCAAGCCGGGCCAATTAAAATCCTTTCTCAGAATTTTGATTTTAAGCTGGAACTTGGGGTGGGGGGGAAAGTCAATCTCTTTCTGGTGATAAAATGTTATGACGTGTGACCCTGAGGCACTGCGGAAGGCCATGATTGTCACCATGGAGAGGAATGCAGGCCACGGTGAGAGGAGGAGGCCCACACCCAGCTTAGTGCTGGACAGACAGAATCCTGGTTGCACCTGAGTCCCTGTTTCCAACAGCTCCTACTGTCCAGCTGTACCAATATCTTTTCTGCACTTGGTTTTGCGGCTTTTTTTTTTTTTAATCTCATTAACTAGATCCTATTTTGAAGATATTTTGAAATATCGTCATAGACTTTTTTTTTCTCACTTGTTTTGTGACCTCTCCCTTGTGCAGCCGGAATCATCCCTTGCCTAGCTCAGGATGGGAAGATGAGATGCAAGGACAGAGAAAGAGTGAATGTTCAGATTTTGACTTCCCAAATGAGCTCCCTAATCTACTTTCAGAGTCAACTAATGGGAATGGCAAAACTTTTTTCTTTTCCTTTTCTTTCTTTGTTTCTTTTTTTTGAGTGGATTTTTTTTCTTTAGGAGGAAAAAATATTTTTAGAAATCAAAAAGCAAAGATCTGAAGAAGGGTTGGGGTGAAAAAAAAGAAAGGAAAGGAAAAGAAAGAAAAAAGAAACACTTGTCACAAAAATAGATTTAAGGTAGAATAGATAAAATTTTGGTTATTTAATATGTCTGTGTCAGCTTCCCCAAATTGGCGTAATAATAAGAATTATCACGTATTGTTTTTTTGTTGGGATTAAATGAGGTAAAATATTTAAAACCTTTAGAATAGTGCCTGCCATGCACAAAACCCCCCTACTCATTAGGTATTTATTATTATTAGTGTTGTTGTTATGGTTGCTACCTCATTTTGAGGGAGGAGATGGGGATTGTTCTTGCAGAGAAGGCAGCAGGATTGGGCAAGGGTATAAGTAGGGAGGCAGTGAGACTTCCACAGTCAGGAAGGACCCTAGGGGTTGGAGTGAAGTCAGAGTGGAGAGCCTGACAGTTTTTGTCCATGAGAGCATTTGATGACAGGGTCTGATCATCCCATGGACGCTGAGCTCAAATGATGTCTCTCTCTCTCTCTCTCTCCATCTTTAGGTTCTACTTTTTTGCTATGTTGTCTACATTCTCAGGCAGGCTGTGTCGATGTGCCAGCAAAAATAGCCACCAATATAGGTCTTGCCTGACCTCCTGCTTACAGTCAGTATTTTTAAAGAATCAGATCCTTCTTTAACCATTGCTCCAGAAAAAGTACTGTGGAGAACTCATTCCATATTTAATAGGAAATTATATTGGATGTCACAGAAGGCCTGTCTTCTTACAGATTTAAGGTGAAGTCCTAGAGTCAGTCACTTTGAGAAACAATAACATAATGAATGAAGAAGGAATTTAAATGCATTCCTTCATTTAATTCTCACAACATCCCTATAATGTATGAACTATTATCCTTTTTATTACAGATAAAGAAACTGAGATTCAAGGATGCTGATATCTTGCTCAAACATTATTTAGGAACTGGCAAGACTAGTATTCAAATTCAGATATATTGGATCCTACATCTTGTATTTTTTTTCTATATTCATGGTTTAATAATTAATTAATGAGAAAATATAAGTGGTCTTCATTATAAGAAATATACTTTGATTTTTCCATTCCCCTTTTTCCTTCATTAATTATACTTATGTTTCATCTCATTCTGGCTATAATTACGCAGATAAAGGAGGCCAAATGTACTAAGCATTTAAAATGTGTTTAGATGATGCAAATATTATTAGATAGAATGTGAAAGATTAAACACAATAATGCTGATGATTGACAGGTTCCCCCCCCCCCCTCTTTTGGGAAGTATTGCATTGTGTAGATATGAGAGAAAACCTTTACCAAAGGTCCAGAGTACCTTTCAGATGCAAGATAAACTCAGAAACAAGTAGAAGTGGAAATACATTTCTTTTAAGATTTTATTTATTTATTTGAGAGAGAGAGAATGAGAGACAGAGAGCATGAGAGGAAGGAGGGTCAGAGGGAGAAGCAGACTCCCCGCTGAGCAGAGAGCCCGATGCAGGACTCGATCCCGGGACTCCAGGATCATGACCTGAGCCAAAGGCAGTTGCTTAACCAATAGCCAAAGGCAGTCGCTTAACCAACTGAGCCACCCAGGCGCCCGGAAATACATTTTTGTTTGAGTATTAACAAGATGGCTAGTTGAATGCTTAAGAAATGGATTGATAAGCATAAAAGACTTTAATCATAAATAACTCACATGACTTTTTGTAAGAAAATATGGGAAATACTTTATGCTAAGCTATTTATAACATTACTTTTTTAACTTGGTTCAACACTCAGTACTTCTAAAATTGATAAGATGATTTAGTTTGTTTATTTAAGGAAACAAGTTATGAAAATATATCCTTATGAAGAAGAAACACAGGACTTCATAGTTCAACTCCTTTATCTTGTCAAAATCTGATTCAAACCCTTTCAGCATGCAGAGCCTAATGTCATAGGCATTGAAAGGTTAAGATCTTTTAGTTATAAGTGGAGGAAAACCTGACCCAAACCTAGCTTGCCTAATGAAAAGTCTAAGAGCAGATAGCTAAATTTAAGACTTGAATAATGGATTTGGTTCTCTCTCGGTCTCAGGCTTCATATGTTGGGGCAAGATGGCAAAAGCTCACATAGCCCTACTTCTTTCAGGTTTCAGAGCCTAATCGGCTTCTTCAACAGCCCGAACAACATTGTCTAGGTTGAATCCCAAAGGTTTTGATTGGCTTGACCTATCAAAGGGTCATATGCTATCCCAGAATTAGTCACTGCTGTATCTCTGAAGCTAGTGTCAGCTTCAGCAGAACGTCATGGACCAAAAGTGGTAATGATGGCAGCGGTGGGCTTCCCCAAAGGAAACTGGGTAAGGTTACCAGAAAGAGTAGAAAATTATGCTGGATGGCAGGAATATTAGTTGTCTACTCCAGGCACTGTGAAAATACCAACAGACAGACTAATTATGGAACCTTGTAATCCATGTAGTCTTGGGGATTACTGTAGAAAACTGGCTACAAGGCCTAATGGGATGCATTGATGGTCTATAATTTTCTTGAAGTTAACTGGCTACAGATGGAACCACTCCAGCCCATAGAGTCCTTCCTTTGGTCATTGGCAAGTCTCTGTGGAATTTCTGTATAGCAGGAATTATATGCAGTGGGCAGATAGTAGTGGGCAGGTACACATTTGGAGAAAACAAGTTGGTCTGTGAGAAAACATGAATGCGAAAAAGTATTCACTGTGGATTCCATCTGGGAGTATAGGAGCAGGTGCAAAGATCTTTGTTTTCAAAGACCCAAAGCCTCAGTGGAAAGGGATAAACACCTCTGTCAACGAGGGACCAGAAATCATTTGTTTTTGCTTTGAAGGCTTTTTTTCTCCACCTATCAACAACATTGGTTGGGTTTGCTGGCTAAAACTGCAAGGCATATCTCTTTCCTTTAACTTGAGTATGTATAAAATAACTGTACAAGATAACCTAGAAATACCCAGAAATGAACTTCTTCGTCCAGTAATACACAATACACATCAGTGCTGCCCAGTGAATTGCTTGGTATTTAGGAAACACTGATAAAGAAAACTAAGCAATGGGTGTTGGTCCTATCTTGCAGAGAAGAAATTAAAACAGCATCAAATCACTTAATTAAGATCCCTTATATTGTGTTAGTATTGAAGATAATGCCATGTTATCAGAAGCTATTTTAAGTAAATAATGAGATTAGAAGTTTAAAATAAGGGGGTGCCTGGGTGGCTCAGTTGGTTGAGTGGCCAACTGTTGATTTCGCTCAGGTCATGATCTTGTGGTCTTGGGATGGAGCCCCGCGATGAGCTCCATGTGCTCAGTGCAGAGTCCACTTGAGATTCTCTCTCCCTCTTCCTCCGCCCCTTAGACCCCTCCCCCCGCTCTAAATAAATAAACAGATAAATAAATAAATAAAATCTTTTTTAAAAATGAAGTTTAAAATAGGAATGAGTGATAAAATAACAGACCCAGCTGATAGGTGTTTTCCATCTGAGCTGTAAGGCGAGAGGCATTATCCCGTTGGCTCGGTTCATCCGTATAAGACACAGTACTCCTGGAGCTAAAAGCAAGGGAGAAAACAAATTTCAATAGTTACCATAATAATAATAACAACAAAACACATTCTGCTTTCAGCAAAAATGTTACAAGGGTAAGGTTTCTCTAAGAATATTTCAAGCAAGTCTCAGGTAAATATCCCAATGTCTAAAGTCTAAAACATTTTGGAGATGGAACCATTAAAGCCTAGAGAAGTTACTTGGAGCAGGTCTCCATATAGTGGTTGCAGGCCAGCGCAGCCCAGTGAAGCCCAAGGCATCTGACTATTCAGAAAGTGTTCATGGGGTGGTCTGTCTGTGTGTACGTGTTTCAAAAGCCATTGCCAACAGCATCTCTACCACAATGCAAAGGCTCTCTCCTCAAAGTGGACAAAACTGACAAAAGGGCCTGGGGGATTTAGGAGGAAGCTTAAAATGTTGGGAAACAACTATATATACTCGGGATATTATAATTTATAAAAGTTCACTCCTATACATACCACACACAATCCCTTTAGTAGAAAAAAGAAAAACAAGAAACTCACCTACATGGTGAGAGAAACCACAATTCACCCAAGCTATGGTAAATGGTAAGCATTCACCACCCTTTCCAACATTAAGAAAGGGTTTTGGCTTGGTTACCAAGGCAATATAAGCTTATCCAGGTGCTGAACAGGAGACGCAAGCAAAGAGGAGCCCCTAATGTCCCTCCAGCACCACTTAATTCTGCTTAGTTCAGAGGAAATTCAACTGTCGCTAAGGGCAGCCTCAGTTCTACCCCCAATTCTCTCCACCTGTGAAAATGGAGGTTAAGACAGATGTCATTTCAAAGGAGATACTACAATAGTGTGTGTGTGTGGTTATGTGTGCGTGCTCAGAGTGACCACTTTTCTAAGCAGCCTATGTTTTGCCTTAATTAAATAACAGGTATTTGTTCTTAATCTTTTGGGATTTTTTTTTTTCTCTGCAAGGAGATTAAAATACTTAGTTTTCAGCTGTTTGCAATGAGTAAAGTTTTTGCAAATGACATTTTAAGAAAATCGCAGGAAATCTTTAAAAAATCTTTAATATAATTTGTGTGATAAATTAAGGTTTACCCACCCATCCCAAGAAATTGATGCAAGTAATTATGGCTGCATTTTCATGATAGATTTCTGGATTAGTGATTTAGTCCTCATTCTTGTAACACCTGCTTTCCCCAGTTTTCTGTTGCCCTTTGAAGTAGCAACCAACCTGTTTGGTCACATTGGCTGCAGGTGTTGTGGGCAATACCCACAGAAGATGATCGCTTCTGCTCAGAAAACTCCGTGTAGCAAAAGCCCCCCTGATTCGAAGATAAACCAGCCTGTCTTGATATGTGCTACTTTTCACTTTACCAAACATTTTCCATCAAAGATCTCATTTTACCTTCACTAGACTCTCTTAAGCTAGTAAACGAGTTATCATTCTACCTATTTCAGAGATACCTATTTCAGGCAAAGGGCTTAATGCCATATGTGTAGGAAAGACAGACTTGGATTTCAAACATCCTATTTACCTCCCACTAACAAAGTCTCACACATGATCATTTTCTGACAGAATGAAAATAGGGACGACGACCACCTGAAATCATTAATGACTGCATGTGAAACTCACTTGCACAAATATACACCAGATGTTAATAAAAACCCAATTTCTTTTCTACTGAATACCATATTAAAAACTGATAGAAAGAGAAGTAGTGTTGGTACAAAACTCAAAGTAGTATAACTTGGAAGTCTCAGACAAAAGAACAAATAAGAATTTTTTACAAACAGTCCTCACTATTGCTTTGTTCTGTGTTACTGAAAAGCTGATAATCAGTGCAGTACTGTTTATCAGTATGAACCTGGAAAGTTGTAAGGGCAGTTTAAAAAAGCCACTGGCTGAAGATAGGTGTGCAAACAGAAGGTGTTGCAGACTGACTTTTTAAAACTTACCGAAAATGATTTCATTCAGTGCCTTTTCGTTTCCACAGTAGTCATGTCAATGGTGCATGCTCATTGTAAAAAGTTCAAAACATAGAAAAGTATAAAGTCTAAAGTAAAATTACACAAAAAATTACTAACCCTAGTGGTTACCTAACCACTGTTAACATTACAAAAATCTTTTTAGACATGACTTTGCATATGGGAGCATAGGATAGATGCTTGGCTCTTTTTTCCTTCACTCGAAAATGTACCGTGGATAACTTTCTATGTTGATAGATAGTAATCTACATCAATATTTTAAAAATCAAGACAGTATTTAATATACGAACATACTATGTTTTATTTACCCACTTGTTCTTCTGGCCATCTAGGCTGTTTCCAAAACTCCATTGTTGTGAAGAAAGCTGTGGTAAACATCGTGGTGGGGACTGCCTGCCGTTTGCTCTCTAGTGTCCTCTCCTTCTTCTTTGGTAACAGAATTCTAAATTTGTAGGGATATTTCTCTCTACACTAAAGACAAATTCTTGGATTTCCCTGGTGCTATTGTGGCCATGTGGCTTGTAAGCCAATGAGATGTAAGCGGAAATTTTGGTTGAAATCCTGAGAGAGTTCCCTCAAAAGAATGAATTCAATCAAGAAGAACCTGTTTCTATCCTTGATGACTGGAATGTGGATATGATGGCAAGAGTTCAGCAGCTATCATGGGTTTTGAGATGACCTTATACATTACACATCAAGAAGAGAGAAGAAGCCTAGGTCCCTGAATTGCTTCCCTCCAGACTTTTTACATAAGAGAAAAATACATTTTTATTTTAAGTCACTATTTTTTTTAAAAAATTATTATTATAAGAAGCATTATATAATACGATACAAATTCTAACTGATACAGAATTTGCTACTCGGAAGTGGGATGTTGCAAGTACTGGAGGACAAAACTTGGGGTTAGTTGGGGAGGGGATAGGGCTTTGGAGAGTGAAGTTCAGATATTTTGCTGTAACCTAGAATCCTTTCTCATGCAGAAGGAAAATAGTTGGTTTGTCTATTGCTTTCTGTACCATGTATCCACTAAAATTATACCTTCATGGAAAATTACAGAAAATTTTTACTTGTTACTTTTAAAAAAACTGTTTATGGTATTTTTTGAAACTGAGATCTGCTTAAAATGAGAGGGGTTGGAAAAAGGAAGAGAGAAGAGAAAACAATGAACTGAACAGAAAAAAATAAAATATTTATTCCTTGAAATAGAGACAGAAGGAAGAGATAAAATATTAAAAGTGCTTGCAATCTGGGTAGCTAACGTTAAACCAGAATATGGGCTTGGTAAATTTTTAGAAATAAAAGAGATTCTGTATTTGAAAATGGGGAATGACCAACAGCAGTTTAGAATACTGGCTTGGAAATTAAGCAGTACATATTTTCTGTTTGATAAACAGCTTTACTCAAGCCCTTTGAAATTTTTACAGATAAAAATGTGAGATGTTCAAAAAGCAATTTTATAATTTTAATTACCAGTGCTGTATACATAGCAGAAAACATTTGTTGGGTATATGTCACAACATTACAAGTGGCTAAGTTTCAGTTGTCTATGACCAGACTTTCCATAGTTTATAATAATAATCCTTCTAGATAGATACATGATCTCATCGCAAGGGGAATGTTGTAGTTGATTTTATTTTTTTAAATGTGGAAAATGCTCTTGGGGCGCCTGGGTGGCTCAGATGGTTAAGCGTCCGCCTTCGGTTCAGGTCATGATCCCAGGGTCCTGGGATCGAGTCCCGCATCGGGCTCCCTGCTAGGCGGGGAGCCTGCTTCTCCCTCTTCCTCTGCCTCTGCCTCTCTCTCTCTCTCTCTCTCTGACTCTCATGGATAAAAAGAAAAGAAAAGAAAAGAAAAATGCTCTTGCCGTCTATGTATTTCATCAGCTTATTGGCATTTAGGGAGGAACAAGATTCAATTGGCAAAACAGGTCCAAGAGAGTTGTCAAGTTTTAGGAAGGAAGGTAGAAGAAAAGTAAACACAGGAAAACTGAAAGTCTGGCAGAAACTACTGGTGAAATCAAGGAACAAATCAACCAATGTTATTCTTGAGAGAAGAGTAAAAATTTGTAACTCAATGCAAGTTTCAATAATACTTGGAATCATATGTACTACTGCTGAGGACAGACGTGGCATTAACCTGGATGCAGAATTAGCTGCATGAAACTGGTCCACAATAACAAAAGGAACCCTACTATATTGTACCTGATTGACACAGGAAACATCCATGTCAACCCAACTGCCTGTGTTCTGATTATGCAGGAAAGAAGCAAAAAGAAAATTAGCTAAAGAGTTGGAATATGGTTTACTCTTTCGTGAAGTTCAGTTCTCCTGAAAACATCTTACAAAGGTACTTGCTGGTCGTTCCTTGAATTACACCGAATACATACAAGGCTTGTCGTATTGTTATGACTGTTAGACACAGACATAATTTCAATTAAATCTCACCAGCCTCAATATTATCTAATTATTATTGAGAATTCATTTCCAGACATTTTCACTGCCGTTATTACTGAGATGTTTTGAAGGTGCAGTAAGAGATAATATTTGAATGCATAAATGGCCTTGGAACCATTAATTTAGTAGACTAAGAAAGTCAGAATGTCATCTCTTTTTTCCATTTGTAACCATTAAATGTCTGGAACTACCATATTTTGAATGGTATCATTTAAGCAGGTTTCCCCCCAAATCTGTTACTAAAGTTACGTGCTGCCTCCCAGTGGAGATATTTCAGAGCGCACAGAATAAAAAGAAGGCTTCAGGATGTACAGATTTGGACTTTTGTTCTTTTGTTTTTCTCTCATTCTTTCAACAAATATTTATTGCTCACAACCAGAAGGCTGGTGATACAAAGAAAAATTAGATTCCCTGTGCTCAAGAAACAAGATATTGTTGGTAATTTAAAAGTAAACTGTCTGGGAGTTGTGATCATCTCACAAGTCACTGTATCTCACCAAGTGTCATCTTCCTCAATGTATGGAGAGAATAGGACATGCACATATTTATTTTTTCTAAATACTGGGTTGGATTTATTTGCTGAAT